AGCTGCCTACTCTTTTCAAGGCTTCATTGAATTCTGCTAAGTAATTGGGAAGAGTTATTTACTGAGTATAGATTGAATATAGGAGTTGAGCCTCATGGTTCTAAAATCAAGCATTTCAATCATCATCTATGTTACTTTTACATCTGACACTAGAAATGTGGTTAATATAAGCAAGTCCTCCCAGGTCTGGAGGCAGTTGTGTGGCAGATCAGAAGGGCCTGTTTTTAAGTGGTGATATCATATAGAGAGACACTGACTTCTAGAGGAAGCCTCGTTTGCTAAAGACTTAAGGACTTCATTTTTTACATATGTTAATGAAGTGAGGTAAAGAACACAGAGAAGCAGTTAAAGGGCATTAGTCAGGATTCTCCAGAGAAACAGAACCAATGGAATGTGTGTGGAGAGAGAGAGAGACTAATTTTAAGGAATTAGCTTGGGCAGTTATGGAGACTTGGTGAGTCCATACGAGGCAGAGATTGGAATGATATGGCCACAAGTCAAGGAGTTCCAACAGCTTGACCAGAAGCTGGAAGAGATAAGGAAAGATACTTCTCTAAAGCCTCCAGAGGGTTGGCAGCTATGCCGATACCTTGGTTTTGGATTCTGGGTTCCAGAACGGAGAAGGAATACATTTCTGTTGTTTGAAGCTATCCAGTTTGTGCTAATTTGTTACAACAACCACAGGAAGCTAATAAAACATCTGAGAATAAATATAATTGATTTTGTTATTAAGAAGGACAACACTGGTCACATTCAAGAAAATAGTTTCAATAAAGTGATATGAATAAAGCCACATGCAAAGGTTATAAGGCAGAAGTTCCCAAACTTTCCTAGTTTATGGGGCCTTTTGTATCTCACTAATTTTTTTCTAGTGTTCCTAGGCCAAAAGAAACACTGAACAGTTTATTAAGTAGTTAATCCCAAACAACTTATTCAGTATTTACATACTAGCAACTTAGTAGCTATTTGAGAAAATAATACATAAACATTAAAAGAAAAAAATACTTGACCTTAGTTTCTTTTCTTAAAGATTTTATTTATTTATTTGAGGGAGAGAGAGAGAGAGAGAGTGAGGGGGAAGGGCAGAGGGAGAGGGAGAAGCAGACTCCGCGCTGAGTGGGGAGCCCTACATGGGGCTCCATCCCAGGACCTCAGGATCATCACCTGAGCCAAAGGCAGACACTTTACTAACTGAGCCACCCAGGTGCCCCTGATTTTAGTTTTAAATAATCACAATTGCTAATGGGATGCATGCACCTAATACACATTACACAACTTCGTAAACTTTGGAATTAGATTGACACCAGCCACTGTCATTTCCTGTTCCTCATTGATTTTCAACCCCTAGTTGCCTTTTATCACAGCAACTACTGAAAATCCAGCTTTTCAAAGATATGACATTATGGAAGGGAATGTAGAGCTATCTAATGTTAAAACTGAACTATCTCAAGCTAATATTTTGTGTGTTGTCAGAAAGACATCAAGCACTATTGTGTTTCCCTAAAAAATTTACAGTATCCCCCAGGCACTGACACTGAAACCATGGATTTAAGGAGTGAGAGGTGAGAAAGTGTACATAGAAAGTGCAGATGATATAGATATGACAGTAAAAGTTTAGGGAAGAAAAGCTAGAAGATTAGCAAAGATATTCTAAAGCTAAAGGGAGAAACAACAAAAATTTTTAAAAAAAGATATAATAGACTACATCAAAATTTAAAACTTCTGTGCATCAAAGGACACAGTCAACAGAATGAAGGAGAAACCTACAGAATGGGGGGCATCCGGATGGCTCAGCCTGTTAAGCGTCTGCCTTCAGCTCAGGTCATGATCCCAGGGTCTTGGGATTGAGTCCCACATCGTCGGGTTCCCTGCTCCACAGGGAGCCTGCTTCTCCCTCTGCCTCTCTCTCTCTCTGTCTCTCATGAATAAATAAATAAAATCTTACAAAAAAAGAGAAACCTACAGAATGGGAGAAAATGTTTTCAGATCATATATCTGATAAGGGGTCAATATCTAGAATATATAAAGTACTCCTACAACTCCACGACAAACAACCTAATTTTAAAATGGGCAAAGAACTTGACTAGACATTTCTCCAAAGAAGATACACAAATGGCCAACAAATATATGAAAAGATGCTCAATATCACTAATCATGGAAATGTAAATCAAACCCACAATGAGATACCACCTCACATCCATTAAGAAGACCTCTGTGAAAACAAGCAAAAACAGAAAATAACAATTGTTGCCAAGGATGCGGAGAAACTGGAACCCTTGTGCACTATTGGTGGGAAAGTAAAGTGGTGCAACCATTGGGGGAAATGGTATGGAATTTCCTCAAAAATACTAAAATAGAATTACCACATAATCTAGCAATTCCACTTCTGTATATGCCCCAAAGAAGTGAAACCAGGAACTCAAATAGGTTTTTGTACACCCATATTCATAGCAGTATTATTCATTATAGCCAGAAAGTAGAAGCAACGCAGATGCCCACTAATAGATGAATGGATAAACAAAATATGGTAAGTATATACATACAATGAAATATTATCCATCCTTAAAAAGGAAGGAAATTGCACATGCTACAACATGGACAGATCTTGAGAACATTACGCTAAGTGAAATAAGCCAGTCACAAACAGAAAAATACTGTATGATTCTACTTACATGTGGTACTAAGAGTAGTCAAAATCATAAAGACAAAAAGTAGAATGTTGCTTGTCAGGGCCTGGGGGCTGTGCTGGAAGAGGGAGTTTTTTAATGGACACAGAGTCAATTTTGTAAAATAAAGAGTCCTGGTGACTGGTTGCACAAGGTGAATGTATTTAACACTACTGAACTGCACATTTAAAAATGGTTAAGATGATAAGTTTATGTTATATGTATTTGATCACAATTTTTAAAAAAGTTAAGGCAAGAAGTCATGACTGTGATCAAATTAAAGATGTAAGCAAGAGAGATTAACAAAAGGAACAAGATTTCTACTACAATCTGTTTGCCTAGGTAGGTAAAATATATGCAGTAGTTAGCACTGTATATATTCAACATACTATTTCTCCAAAGTTAGTACAATGCCAAACTTTAACCCAATCTGAAATAAACGTCATACATAATAAATTAGTGACATTTAAGTGTATAGTCAATATGGCCCAGAAATATTTTCATAAAACATCCTATGAAAGCATTAAAAATCCATTTTCTTTGCACATACATAAAACTAATCAAATAGAGGAAATTATTTAACTACATGTGGAAACACTGATGGGCAGTAAAAATGATCATTTCGGCCATGCTTTTTATAGCTTAGCAAATATTTTCCCTTCTCATATTCTCTGTTTTGCTCAGAGGAACTCTGCTGTTTTGAAAACAATGCACCCAAGGTCTTTGTAGCTTTGAAAACAATGCACCGAGGCCCTTGCAGTAGTCAAACTACTGTACTGCCAGAAAATAAGCACTTTCTGGTGACTTCCAGGGTGGTCCTATCCAACTCAACTGGACTTTTGTATTCTTTAGAGCTGATCATACCATGGTCTTTTCTAAGCATGAACATGGGACAATTATTTTTTTCTTATCAGTACTTTTAAGCAATGCCAACTTCTTAGGCAATTTTCCCTAGTCACCAAGATGTGAATCAGTCAAAAAATTGAAGATGAACTCTGCAATTTTCTCTCTGCTCAACAAAGCAATCAAAACTGGAGATTGTGTCAGGAAGAATTTGGTTAGAATAAAACTCTCCCTACATTTCTTAAATCCAAACAAGTTACAAAACTCAGACTAAATTTTGCTTATTCCATAATATGAGGATCTGTTTATCGCTTCTCGGCCTTTTGGCTAAGATCAAGTGTAATATGAGGATCTGTTTGAGAAAAAAAAGTTTAGATAACAAGGAACAAAACATAGCAACCTTCTTTGCTGTGATCCTGGCAGAGAAACATAATTGCAAGCCTGATAGTTAATGACTAGTTAAAAATACATTGTATTTGAAGAGTGATTTTGTTAATTTGCATTTATATTATTGGTTGAAGAAAGTATTTGTTGATAAGCAGATTGTAATTTTGTATATTTGTCAGTTCAAGGCCCTAAAAACAAAAGACCCAGTTTTCTACCTAGGGAACTATAATCTAGGAGTGATAGAAAAGTAAAAAGTATTAAAATTACCTCTGAGAAGGAAAATACATGTTCTTAACAGCAGAAAATGGAAAAGAATTTTTAATAATATCTGCTGTTATTTTACATTTATCCAAATGAATCCTGAATAATTACTTAATTCAAGAATTAACGACCAATCTAAAGCAGAGCGGCAATCATAGTTTGCAGTGATAAAATTCACCACAAAGGAGTATTCAAGTCAGCTAATCTCACTTTTAAAGGCTGTCTCCTTTTGGAATGAAGAGAAAGGAAAACTTGGTCTCTAAATGTACCCAACTGAAAATAGAAAAGTTAACAGTGTGAGATTAATTCAATTTAAAAAAGTGTGGGCGATTTTGATGGGAGACCACCTATACATTAATCCTCATTTTAAAAAACGGGGCAGGGAGTGACCCTTCACATTGTATAGATTACCAGAAGAGTGAACTAAGAAAGATACTGTGCACATCTTTTTAAAATTGAAAATATATGTTCAGTAAAATGGTCATTTACATTTTTGAGCATCTTTTTGCTGAACCAGCGAACGGCGGTGTCGGCAGGGTCGCTGGGGGGCAGACACCAAAGGGCAAAGCCATCCAGCTGGCTCTGCGGGGTTTCCCGGTGGTGGGGCCGGAGCAGCGGCGGCCAGTGCCAGGGCAGTGACCCCCGGCGAGAGCTGGAGGAGAGCGCCTGGGGAAAGGGGATTTGCAGCCCTCCGAAGAGCGCGTGGCGGGGGGCGCGGTGGGGGGAACCGGGTGAGGGGGCGGAGGCGATAGCGGCGCGCGAGGACACGGTCAGCCTAGCTGGGCGGGGCGGCCGCGGGTCGCAGGCCGATGACGCGCCGCGGCAGGCGGGGGAGCCGCCACTTCCTGGAGGCGCCGCCCGGGGCCGCCCTCAGCACTTAGCGCTGGAGCCGGGATCCCGCGGCCGCCGCCATGTCCCATCAGACCGGCATCCAAGGTAACGGCGCCCGAAGCGGCGCGCGGGGAAGGGGCTCCCGGGAGGCTCCGGCCGAGCCGGGCGGGCTGCGGGACTAGCAGGGCTGGAGTCGGGCCCGGAGGAAGGGAGCCGGTCTCGCGGGGCAGGCCGGGCCTCTGCGCCTCTCCGAGTGTTCTGGTCCCGGGCGCTCCCGGCCTGCGTCCCTCCCAGCCCGGCCCGGCCGCTGACACGTTACAGACTGACCCGAAATTCGCAGAAGCGGAGGAAATTCGTGTCCGAGGAGGCCTGGGTGAAGGGGGCGTGCCTTCCACCGCCCCTGAAGATAGCCCAACTTTCCCCCTTTTTATCCGGTAGGGGAGACCTGAAACAGTGGAGGCGACTGGGGCTCCTCTTGCTGTAGAGAGACGGGCGAATTTTCCTTTCACAGTGCGAAGGAGATTGTTACAAGATTTTGATTACAAAACGAAAGATACTGGAATCTTTTTCATTCCCAGTAAAGGTGCTTCCCAAACTCTTCAGCATTTTCTTCCAAAATGGAAACATGAATTTACGTTCTGAGAAATCCTGCGTATGGAGTGTTTTGATTTTTTCTTAGGTACTTCCCCAGGGAACTGAAAATTCTGGTCTTTGTGGCTGTATTCGATCATACCGTGAAGGCAGCTCAGTGTGCAATTATATCTGACCTCCATTATTTCCTGGTTTGAAAATGGGCAGTCTGGAAGCGCTCACCTCATCAGAATCAAATAATATATCCCGGGGTTACTCGCGATTACTTAACGAGTGCTAATATAAACCCACGCTCTTCCTGTTAATACACAGCGAATCTTTCCCAGATGAGCATTTACTTGTGTTTTGTTCGTATGAGTCTTTGACCACCCCACACCTCTCCCTGCGCACACAAGCACAAGCAAAATACTCTCAAACCTAAAAGCAGTTTTGTTGGTCCGAGTTTGTTAGACACTTAAATATGTAATTAATGATTTTCATGTTTGAGCCTTATAGCAATCACTACTTAAATAGTGGTTCTTGCTCTCAGTATACAACCCAAGGATGAAATCGGAATGAAATTGAAGCTTTAATGGGAACAGAAGGGTTATTAAATATATATTTGCTTAGTGAACTTAACTCTAGCTTTTTGAGAAATACCAGTTAGAAAAATATTACCAGAAGTACAAGCTTGAATGCATTTTATTGACTTTTTGTTTAATCGGGATAGGATATCTGATATTTACTGTTGTTTTTAATGTGGAAATATAGAAATGAATCTTTATTATAATTTTGAAATTGGACTAGAAGAGAATGAAAGTTTTCCAACAATTTTCAACCAAGCAATAGAGGTGTTTTTTAAAATCGTAGTTTGTTCATTATTGGATTTGGTTAATTTTAGTATTTTCACTCTCAGTGTTATTTCTGCTTTGGAATTATCTAGTTAAAACAGATTAGAATTAGTAGTAATATACTTTAAGCTATATTAATATTTCTTAGCTGTGTACACTGTCCACTATGTTATACCTTTAAGTTTTATAGTTTAAATTACTGATAGTAGGGGGATGCTACATACTCAAGATTTTGTCTTCTATTACAATTCATTTCTCCTTATTTAAATAGCATTTGAAAGTATTAACACATAAGTATAAAAATGGGTTTACTTGTCTCTCTTTTTCCACAGCAAGTGAAGATGTTAAAGATATCTTTGCCAGAGCAAGAAATGGAAAATACAGACTTCTAAAAATATCTATTGAAAATGGTTAGTTATACATTTTTAAATATTGTTTGTCCTTAGATTATTGAGTGTTACATTTTTAAATTTCTAAGTCATGGTCAGTGATTGGAACTGTTAATGTGAAGCAAGTTCAAAGCTTGCCTTTAGGTAACGTGGATCCTGTACATTTGGTCATGTCCCATTGGCTGCTGCTTACCCTCTGAATTCTGTAGTTGACTGTCAGGGAAACAGAAAGATATTTTTTTGGTGTGACATCTTCCTCTTTTACTTTTTGTCTCAGTTTTTGTACCATAACCCATTTCTAATGTTAGTGCTTCTATCTCTGGAATGGAAATCAGTAAACAGGTGATTCTCTCCCAACACCCCCAAAAAATTACTTGAGAATTGTTACTCAGTAAAGTTAGTTTTGAAGTAGAAACAAAGGATTTCAAACTCCCACTTTCTCCACTTGATTTTAATTTGTGCTGAAGAAATGATTCCCCCTTTCTTGTTTTGGGACAAAGTTCTAAGAATGTAACAAACTGTAAATTGATCCTTTCAAAATAATTCTGTAGCAGGGAAATTGGGTGGGAGAATCTTTTAATGTGGCTATATTTGAATTTGGACAATTAATATTCTTACAAATGAATGTCTTAAAATATTCCATTGGTCTAATTTCTTAAATACTTGGAAATACTTTGCTTTGGAAAAATAACTTGTTCTTTTATAAACTGGAAGTAAACTTAATTTGCTTTCCATTTTCTACTTACATATTAAAAATACCAGAGTAGTTTGGAAAATACGCAGTTGTTGTAAATATATATTGCTACACTTGATAGGAATAAACATATACTGTAAAGCAGCATATTTTAGGAATACTGAGCTAGGTTTTATTTTTTTATTTTTTTATTTCTTTTTTAAATTTTTTTAAAGATTTTATTAATTTGACAGAGAGAGACACAGCAGAGAGAAGGAACACAAGCAGGGGGAGTGGGAGAGGGAGAAGCAGGCTTCCCGCGGAGCAGGGAGCCTGATGCAGGGCTCGATCCCAGGATCCTGGGATCAGGACCTGAGCCGAAGGCAGACGCTTAACGACTGAGCCACCCAGGCGCCCCTACTGAGCTAAATTTTAAAGGCCATCACTTCCTAACTGGTTAAGTGACTAAAATGGAAAAGTTTGTCTAACTAGGATCACTACAGAAGGAAAATGACACTCTTTCCTAAATCATCATTTTCTGATCTTTTTGTTTTGAGGAAAATTTTTAAGGAAATTAAAAGGAGTAAATAAAATAACAAATACTTTGATCTCCCCTTAATGACTGCTAATATTTTATCATATTTGCTTCAGCTTTTTTTAAACTTAATATTTTTGTGATATAAGGGCTTCCCCTTTAAACAGTTTCACTTCCTGACCTCTTCCTGAAGCAACTATATTAGGAGTTTTTTTTTTTTTTTAAAGATTTTATTTATTTATTTGAGAGAGAGAGAATGGTAGAGAGAGAGCATGAGAGGGAAGAGGGTCAGAGGGAGAAGCAGACTCCCTGCTGAGCAGGGAGCCTGATGTGGGACTCGATCCTGGGACTCCAGGATCATGACCTGAGCCGAAGGCAGTCGCTTAACCAACTGAGCCACCCCGGCGCCCTATATTAGGAGTTTTAATATTTCTGCAGTTTTTATATGTATCCCTAGATAGCTTATAGTGCTGTTTTGAGTTTTTAAGTTCATGTAAACTGATGTCTTATTCTGCATCTTTTTTTCTGTAAACATTATTTTTGTAATTAGTTTTGACAAAGAGCTCATTATTTTTAAATATGAATTCATCATATAACTATGCCACATAGTATGTGATCATTCTCTTACTGATAAAACACTTAGGGTACTTGCAGCTTCCACTGTTCTCATACAGTGCAATGAACATATGTGTAAGAGATTTTCTATGTGGAGAACATTCACAGTTCTACTTGATTCTGCCAAATGGCTGCACCAATTTATGCTTCTGGACAAAAGTTTTTAATTTGTAGCATTATGGCCAAGTAAGTGCTAAACCTGGTTTTAATGTTTCTTGTTGCACAATTCAGTGTTTCAGAAATTCTACCTTTGAACAATAATACACTTATTTAATACATATTTTGTTGATAACTTATAGCATAAACATTTTGGAAAATAGACTATAATCACCCATTCTTCAACCATCCAACTCAACTTTTATTTTTAATATGAATAAAATTTTACCATATGTTCTTTTCTTGTGTTTTTTATTTTTATTTATTTAGTTTTAAGATTTTATTTATTTGACAGAGAGAGCACAAGTAGGCAGAGCGGCAGGCAGAGGGAGAAGCAGACTTCCCGCTGAGCGGGGAGCCTGACATGGGACTCAATCCCATGACCCTGGGATCACGACCTTGAGCCGAAGGCAGACGCTTAATGACTGAGCCACCCAGGAGCCATTTTCTTGTGTTTATTAAATATAACATTTTAACCATGCTAGTCATAAAATCTTCATATCTTTTTTAAAGATTTTATTTGTTTGAGAGAGAGAAAACAAGTTGGGGGGAGGGGCAGAGGGAGAAGCAGATTCCCCTCTGAGCAGGGAGCCTGATGCCATGCCCAGGACCCTGGGATCATGACTTGAACCCAAGGCAGATGCTTAACTGACTGAGCCACCCAGGCATAATTTCTTGATATGGAGATGACTGTATTAGTTTATTCTTTTCTTCATTACCATTTGGTATTTAAAACAATTCATGTGTCTTTTAAAAATTGTTCTTCATAGAGAAACTTGTGATTGGATCATGTAGTCAGCCTTCAGATTCCTGGGGGAAGGACTATGATTCCTTTGTTTTACCCCTACTGGAGGACAAACAACCATGCTATATATTATTCAGGTTAGATTCTCAGAATGCCCAGGGATATGAATGGATATTCATTGCCTGGTCTCCAGATCATTCTCATGTAAGTAATTTTTTTGTAACTTGTTTAACATTAAATGCTAGAAATTTTTGTTTTCTGAAATAGTCCTAGGCCAAGAGAAAGTTAAGAAGCAATAGTTATTTCCCATTGAAGGGAGTGATCATGAAGAAAATCCTCATATTGGTAATGTAGAGTCGGGAGTAATGTACTTAGATTCAGGAGTCTTGCCCTTAAAATCAACAGAATTATTACTGATTTTAAATTTAAATATCTTTGGCAATTATATATAAATGACTATGCTCTGAAAATAATACTTGGAATAATTCTGGGACCTAATTGAATGTTATAGTAAATATTCTTAATAGCTACCATTCAAATGATAGGCATACACACAAGTATTTCTTTTAGGAAAGTTAGCAGAATGATTCAGATTACTGGATTTGACGATGCAGTATTATAAAACTATTTCTATTGGTTGGCAGTTACCTTTAGTAGTTTTCAACAGTTGCTATTAGATTCTTTAATAATAGTTTATATTGTAGTTGTTTTCATCTTTGTATTCCTCATAGAATGGTATATCCCATAGGTATGCCATAAACACTTGATTCTTAAACAGCTTAATTAGTAACATCTGATCTCGATTTGCTTTGAGTAAAATGTCAGTATCCAGGTTACTTTATTTCAAGTGATGTTTTCTTCCTCATATCTTAAAGTAGTATTTTAAGTAGTTTTTTTTAAATTCTTGAACTCATTGTATACTTTGAAAAGTGAGTAATTTTTTAAAATTTAGTTTCCCAATTTTTGTAAAATATGACATATTATAAATTGAAATCTACCTTAATAGATGAAGTGTTATGATGGCTATTTGTACACATATACTTTAGCATATTACAGCCCCTGGACTTCAGCTTTATCACAGTTTATGTTTAATGTACTTGAAGATTTTAATACATTCAGAAAATACCTTCTTTTGTAATGATAGTTTTCATCTATAAACTGCTAAGTAAACTTTCACAACTTACTAGGTTCGTCAAAAAATGTTGTATGCGGCAACAAGAGCAACTCTGAAAAAGGAATTTGGAGGTGGCCACATTAAAGATGAAGTATTTGGAACAGTAAAGGTACAAAACTTATATATATGTGGATTCCACATGTTGGAATTAAACGAATATAAGGACTCCTAGGTAATGGGTAATTGATATGAAATCAGACTAATGAATCTGTAAACATAAGAATAAGAGAAAATATTACTATATTTCATATGATAAGCAAGTTAACTAAAACATGTACTTACCCTTTTAAAATATGTTGGAATACCTTAGAGATCATCTAGTTTAACCCCTCATTTAGTTCAGCCTTTTCACTTTAAGGATAGGGAAACAGGCTCAGAAAAATGAGAGACTACTTGAAAGAGGAGGTAATTTTTAGATATTTTGGGCATTTATAGCCATGTAGAAGCAGTAACTATGAATATTATTTAAACCAGGAACATTGAGGCAGGTAAATTGATAATTGGGATAGTTGATTAATACATTTAATTAGTTAAATTGTGATTAAGAATTTACTTTGTAATAAAAATTATATGGTAAGGACATATATTTATACATATATCCACAAATTAAGAAAAATGAAATATTTTTTGAACAGTAATATTATCTAGTGGATAGACCACAAGACTGGATGGGAATATTTTGCTTGTTCATCATTAATTGTGAGGTGGCCTGTTTTCTCAATTCTTTCTATTCTCAGTCTTTCAAATCACAAAATTTTGATGAAAAAGTAGACCTTTGGAATATTTTATTCTTTTAAATAAGAGCTGCAATCATTTTCTATGAAAAACTATAGAGAAATTGTATAAATCAATATAATAGAGAATTCAGAATCTGAATGTGTTGATTATTGTATAGTTATGGGGCAGACTTCCCCAGTAAGTTAATTATAATCATCCTGTAGACTTGAACATGACCAAGTTCATCATGTGACTAACATCACCACACCACACTCATACCCATTTAGTAATTAGAGAACTTTAGGGAAGCTTAAGGAAATGAAGAGTAAATACTCCCCCTTAAAATTTTTTGAAAACTTAAAATTTTTTGAAAAATTTTTTGAAAGAGGATTTTTGAAAAATAAGAAATAGTAAAATTCTTGATACTATTTTTCAATCAAAATGTTTTCTGTTAAATTAATAATTTTGTTTTTCCTAAAGTGACTTCATGGAGGTTTTCTAGGGAATAACTAGTAACAATCCATTTCTGTGTTTACAGGAAGATGTATCATTACATGGATATAAAACAACACGTGCGGGCACAATCTTCTCCTGCCCCATTGACTGCAGCTGAGGAAGAATTACGGCAGATTAAAATTAATGAGGTAAATTACAGTTTTGATACTCTTGCAAGATTTTAAGTGTTTGAAAAAATATTTTTAATTAATAGATGTAGAAGAAACTAGAGAATAAGTTAGGTAGCTTGCATTCTGTATAGTTTAGAGACATGACTGTGCTCATTGTATTTTCAGGAAAAAAGTTAAAAGTAAATATTAAAATTTGTATTAATTTCATAAGTAACTTCCTCCTATATTTGTAATGTATGTGACGGAATAGTAAATCTTCCTGTTGGAAGTACAACTTTTTTAACTTTGTACTTTGAATACTAGATGAATGGGAAAAATGTGTGTTACCCATTTTGGGCAAAGAATTCTATCTAATGGGGTTGCTGAAGCAGGTTTGTTTTGTTACATTATACTGTTTTATTACATTATTTTGTTTGTGACTAAAGAGAGTAAAATGTAAATGCTGTAAGATATTTAGTATTTCTAGAAGCTCTATAAATTAACTTCTGTGAACACTACTCGGATGCATATGTATATATGGGAGATGGTGTTTTGAGTACTTGTTTAGCTCAGTTATATTAGAGTCAATAAATTTCATCCATATTATAGTTTATCATATTTCTAATGTGTTTACTGCAGCTGTTCTAATTACAAGTTAGAATAGTTACTATATTTCTACTGGGATTTTATAGGAAAGAACAAGTAACAGAAACCAGTATTCACTAGTCTGAGAAACCAACTAATAGGAATCAGTCTGGACAGTGATTTAATATTATTTATTAGACCTGAGAGCAAGGATCTATCTTTATACTATTTTAACTCAAGTTATTTGAGTAAAGATTTTTATGTGATTTTTTTTTTTTACAAGTTTGATAGTTTGTTTTATTCCTTGCAATCAGAACCCAGAGGATCGTATTGGGGTATGCATTTGCATATGTTCTATGATGTTTTCATTATCCAGTATCATTTATGCTGTAGAATCTCCATTCGTTTTTTTAAAAGTAAAATTTCTATTTGACTTTCTGTTGCAACACTGCAAATGAGACCCTATACTAGCTATCATTTGAGTATAAAAGTCTTAAAACATGTACATCGAAAGCTTTCTTGAAGTACTCTTCTAGTATTTGCACACCCATGTTCTTAGTAACGAAAGCTCAAAGTCTGGAACTTCTGCAGTAGTATAATTTGTTGAGCTGTGTTGTGTCTTTGTATACTGTTCGTACTCCTTCAATTCAATGCATGGTGTTTGTGTTGCATTTTATGTCTAACAGAACAAAGTAAAGTTTGATACATATTGTATATATATCACATTGTTCATAAATTTTATCACGTAAAATTTTATAATTAAAGGTGTAATCTGAGGACACCTGAAAGAACTTACGAAGTTCATTGCAAATGTGCCAAACCAAACATATAAACAACCTCCCCGCAAAGCCCCACTAACACTGCATACTCACTCAAATGTTCACTCCCAGCATTTCATAAAGATGTGTCATGCACTCCGCATGTTGGTAGAATGCTAGCAGAACATGAACAAATGTGAAAAATTACTTGCTTTTTAAGTTCATAGTATTTTAAATGTTAATTTTACTTATATTAAAATGGGCAAGGGTGGAATGATACTTGATAGAGATTGGGCTTTCTTCTCTTTGCCGTATGACACTGCTAAATGCTAAAACTTCATCAGTAAATTAAATCTGTCATACTTAGGTACAAACTGACGTGGGTGTGGACACTAAGCATCAAACACTACAAGGAGTAGCATTTCCTATTTCTCGAGAAGCTTTTCAGGCTTTGGAACAGTTAAGTAACAGACAGCTCAACTATGTGCAATTGGTAAGAGACATATGATAATTATGAACTGGCTGCTGTTTTTGGTGGCTCATGGCACGTACAAGGTTTATTTTTAATGGATTTAAAATTGTTTTGTTTCCTGATTTTTTTATTCATTTTCTTAAAACTACGAGACAATATATATTCTTTGTGAAAAGTCAAACCTGTGTAAGTTTCCCCTTGTCTCCTAGTTTTTCTTACTATAAATTTTAAATTGCTGTGTATCTGTTTTAATGAATGTATTTCTTATTGACAGGAAATAGATATAAAAAATGAAATTATAATTTTAGCCAACACAACAAATACAGAACTAAAAGATTTGCCAAAGAGGATTCCCAAGGATTCAGCACGTTACCATTTCTTCCTGTATAAACATTCCCATGAAGGAGACTATTTGGAGTCCATAGGTATATAATATATTGTTTTAACATGTTATTTTCAGTTGGTTTATTGATTTTTTTAGCACTGTATTCTCACTTCTTGTCCAGAGGACTTAGTTATAGTTCTGTGAGGCTTAGTATTTGCTTTAATTGATATATTGCTAATTGTATTTATTATTTTAACTTACAGTTTTTATTTATTCAATGCCTGGATACACATGCAGTATAAGAGAACGGATGCTGTATTCTAGCTGCAAGAGCCCTCTGCTAGAAATTGTAGAAAGACAACTACAAATGGATGTCATTAGAAAGGTAAAATTACTTACCTATTTATTTTAAAATTTTAGTTTTTATTAGATCTTTATTGTCTTTTCCAGGTAGTTTGTGATGTATTATGATTTATTAATGAAGGTATTTTTTTCTTGTTCTCACATAAATCCTTAGGGTCTCCTCTACTCTAAGTGCTTGAGGATGACCTATCATTACTCCAGTCTCCTTAATAGATCTGTACTCTTTAATATGTAGCCATAAGCTACATATGGCTATTTAAATTTAAATGTAAATTAAAATTAAGTAAAATTTAAAATTCAGTTTCTTAATCATACTAGACACATTTCAGGTGTTCATTAGCTACTCGTGGCTAGTGGCTGCTGTCTGTATTGGACAGTGCAGAATTTAGAAAACATTCCCATATTGCAGAAAGTTCTGTTGGACAGTGCTGCTAGAGCTACATACTTGTGATTGTCTCAACACTTGCTATTAATAAGGAACTACAGTTTCCATTTATAACTGAATCATGGGATGGTTGAGAATCTAGTTGTTGAGAAAGGAGGGAATGGGCATAAACATTTGATTTTGGGGAGCTAAGCTACCAATTTTATTAAATTTATTTTCTTAAATGCAAATGCACGGGGAAAGATGTGGTTTATTCTTGAGCCCTTCAACTTACTAAAACACAGGTCCCTAAAACTACCAGTGTTCTAGGTACTGAACCCTTCAAGCTTTTTAAATTTGTAAGGTATAGCAGGGACTGGCTGACTCTTTTATTAGAAGAGTTGATAGTAAATATTCTAGGCTTCACCAGGCCACATATGGTCTTTGTAATATATTCTTGTTTGTTTTATTATTTTATGTTTATAACCCTTTAAAAATCTAAAACAGTCTTAATTAGGGCTAAATTTGGCCCTGTTCGAGAGTGATTACAAGTGACTCAGGTAACAGAGGGGCCAGTAAGTAATGTTTCTTGAATATGTATATTGTACCAAAGCAGAACAACCTGAGAATATAGTGGTGGCTTCTTATGCATTAAATAGGAGAAGAAAGAGGGAACTAGATAGAAAATGATTATTGCTGATTATGTATTCAGGCAATGCACCACCGCCCCCCTCCAAAAAAAAAAAGGTGAAAGTGAAACTATTTACATATGGTCCTTGATACTGTCCTGCTGGAATGGGTATTATGTATTCATTTGTGAGCATTCACACCTGAAAACTGGCTCCTTGCTTGTATTAGGTTTTGAATGTTGTCTTTTTCATATAGGATCACACTTTACTGATTCCATCTCTTACAGATTGAGATAGACAACGGGGATGAGTTGACAGCAGACTTCCTTTATGAAGAAGTACACCCAAAGCAGCATGCACATAAGCAAAGTTTTGCAAAACCAAAAGGTCCTGCAGGAAAAAGAGGAATTCGAAGACTTATTAGGGGTCCAGCTGAAAGTGAAGCCACTGCTGATTAAAATCATTATATTAAGCATTACAGTACTAGTTTTTTAAAAGTCCAGCTTTTAGTACAGGAACTGAAATCATTCCATGTTGATACATAGTAGGGAAAAAATTGTACTTTTTGAAAAATAGCACTTTTCACTTCTGTGTGTTTTTAAAATTAAGGTTATAGAAGACTCATGATCTCTATTTTTGAGTTAATGCTAGAAAAGGGTTCGACATAGTGATGTTTAATTTTGTCACACTGTTTTCACAGAGTAATAATGATTCCATACTTTCACGCACTTCTTAAAATTTTATACAGTTGGGCCAATTCCAGAAAGTCAAATGTCTCAAAGTAAGATACACTCCTTACTACTCTTTAGTGAGACATCAAGTTTTTTTCTTGAAGGGAGAAAGACCTTAAAATATTCATACTACTTAATGAATATGTTAAGGACCAGATTAGATTATTTTCTCAGCTGAGAACTTAGTGTGCCTAGGTAAAGGTGAAAAGTTGCTGACTCTGAGAAGCGGGGCTTAGCTCTCAGGTGATGGGATCATGTCTGCAACTTTTAGAAACAGTGCTTTATTGCAGCAGTCTTTTCTAGTTGACTTTTTTGGTTTTTTAAATGGCATTAAAATTTCAGAAGATCAGTTCATTCTGAAACCTTAAAGGTACCAGATATTTTCTATACTGCAGGATTTCTGATGACGTTGAAAGACATATTAAACAGCTTTAGTAAATTCTCTTTCTAGTGCTTTAAAGTTTCCTTTTCAGAAGTAACTCATTCTAAGTAGTTTGAGGCTAAATATCTATGTTCAGATTGAATATTAAATTAACATCATTAAAAAGAAAACAAAACTAAAGTCAACAGTGTTGAAAAAATCTTAAACATCAAGATTGATTTTTCTCCAGAATCCCAGAACCATATATTAATAGGCAAATTGTGTTCTTTATTATTTTTGAGGAAATACTCATTTAATAAAACTGTTTGAAAGTCCTAGTACTTATCAGCCTAATACAAATTAAATACTTAAGAAACTTTCAATTTATATCTTATTTCAAAGCACATTTAACTATTTAAAGCTTTGCATTTTCAGTTACAACCTACAGAAATTTTGAGCCTCTTTTTTTTTTTTTTTGGATACTTGAAATAGGGAAGGAGATAGAACACTTTGTCATGTTAAATCTGATAAACCTGCTGCAAGAGCCATAACTTTGAGGAGTTTTCTAAATGAACTATGGGGATCCAGGATTTAGAATTTCTTGATCTAAACTTTATGCTGCATATAACATTAGAAATGCACATTTCATAGTATAAAATATGAAACACATTTTTATACCTTATTATCTAAGGTACTATATGCACCTTTCAAAAATTCAATGTGTGTTCAAGTAAAGCATATTAGAATAATTATGGGTTGACAGGTTTTTTTTTTTCCTAGAGGTGAGAGTATTTGTGTGGGGTTTTGTTTGTTTACAAATAATCAGACTATAATATTTAAACATGCAAAGTAATTGGCAGTAATGTTGCACTTGTTTACTAAAGATACACTTTAAGTTGTTCCATGGGTGCCCACATCGACACACGTATACACAAATTACTGCATTGAGAATCCTAGAGCTGTGTTGCAGACCATAGCTCAAGCTGTATTTTCAATCAGAAAGAATGTAAAACCTGTCATGAAGGTATAAAATAATTTGGTGGTGAATGTTTTTCTGTACCATTCATGTGCAATTATAGTCTAAATTCTGCTACACTACATGAAAGTAAATGGACATTCCAGAATATATATGTGATTATATAGTCTTAAACTAATTATTATTAAACCAAGATTGCTGAAAAATCAGTGATGCATTTGTTATAGAGTATAACTCATTGTTTACAGTATGTTTTAGGTGATATCATCATAACAGTAGAAGGTGATCAAAATATTCCAGGTAAATTTATATAGCAGTGAAGAATTACATACCTTCTGTGGACATTTTATAAGTGCATTTTATATTACAATAAATTTTTTTCTCTTTAAATTGTGTACTAAGTTGTTTTCTAGCATAAGGTTTTTTTAAAAATGTTTATAATGCAGTATCTGGTAATAGGCTAGAAATCCCACTGATCTATGCATTTAATTCACCTATCTAAATCAAGGATTTTAAATATTTTGTAACCTAGGCAAGTTGTGCTTAATTTAGATTAGAACTTTCCTACTGCTGCAGCAATAATGAAAATGCCATGAGTTATACAGTCCTGTGATAAAAGCTCCCCTGTACAATAGAATGACCAATGTATTTGACGCTAAACTCTTCAGATACTTGCCACCCATCCAACAAATACTGAATGCATTCCCGTGTACAGTTCACCACCAGACTGATCTTTTTCTAAGGCCAAATTACAAAAGATGGAGAGTTGTCTTTAAAAGGGCTGGTTTTAGAAACTTAAGAGTTAAAAAAAAACTCTAAGGTATTTCTACTCAGAACTATAATGTGCCTGAGACACATACTGTAGTTTGTGGTATATATCCTTTGCATACACAGCCATACATTATAAGGAAGAGAGGTTCTTTTTTAAAAAGTACGGGTTCTGGGGCTTTATATACAGAGGTTTTGATAAAATAGGTGGACCCAGGAATTACATAGTTTCATAAATGAGTCATGTGTTGCCATGACAGGGTATAGTTTGCCTTATGATAAATTTTTTTCTCCCCATTCAGTCAACAAACTTATTTAGTACTGTGTACTGGTATATAGTATTTATTGGTAGAGGTAACATCTCATACAGAATAAAATCTAGTTCTTACTCTTTGTTGCCCATTAGCTTCTGCATGACTTGGTTCATGGCTCTCTTCCACCTTGGTCAGTTGGCTCCAGTTTATTAGCTGCTTGCTGTACCTCTGATAGACCAAGAATGCTGCTGCCTCAGGAGGACTGAATGCACCGTTCCCCACACTGGATCACTACTCCAGTATCTACATGTGGTTCCTCCTTCACTTAACTCAGGTCTCTCCTCAAGTGTCATCTCCTTAGAGAAGTCTTCCCTGACATCCAAATCTGATTGTACACCCTGTCCTCACCTTAATCCTGTCTCATTTTTCCTCAAAGCACTCAGGAATTATCGATCTATGCATATTGTTAGTCTCTGCCACTAAAATACAAGCTCAAGGCGGGGAAGGGACTTGGTTTTATTCGCTGCAGCATCCTCAGCACCTGGAACAGTGTCTAAGACAGTGGATATTTGTAGAATGAATAAAAGAATGAGAGATTTTACCTTTCCTTGAACAGTGGGGAAAAGAGCACATCCCAGCAGTGGTCGGTGTAGCACAGAGGCTACACACTGCATCCTGGCCAGAGCAAACATCGCTAGGGCAGACAGAGCCTCTTGTCCTCTGGACCATGGTTTGTACCACAAAACACTAGTATCAACTCATTCCAGAGCAGCAAGTGTCTTCCGGTGGGGATCTTTATTCAGCAGACTGCTCTGGAAAGGCCAAGACCAGCCTCTATTCAACTGCCAGTGCAGCTCTACCACCATCAGCATTTGCTAGGATTCAGCCGGGCTGTGGGAATTCTGGGATGTGTAATGGGAAGAGGCAAGCTATGCAGATTAAATTCTATTTCTTAGTTTCCAATTACCAAGCTGTATGGATGAAACAGCATGGGTCATTTGTGTGTATGTGTGTGTGATGCTGCCACTTACTGGCTAAATGACGGAATTGGTTATGTATTCTACCATACCATAAACTACCCCCAATATTTAGTGGTTGAAAACAACAGCAGTCATGTTCCGCAAGTCTACAGTTGGTTGACCTCTCATATAGTCACACCTGACAGGTTGGCTGGTCTAAGATGATGTTACCTGAGATGACTTGTCTCTCTGCTCTTCATGGTCTCTCAGCAGCAGCACATTAGCCTAGGCTTTTCTCATGGCAGTGGCAGTGTTGTGAGAGAGAGTAATACCCAAGGACTCTTGAGACCCAGGCTAGGAGCTACAACATCACTTTTGGTGCATTCTACTGAGTAAAGCAAGTAACAAGGCCATCCTAGATCTAAGAGCTTGGGAAATAGACTGTACCTCCTGATGAGAAATATTGCCAAGGGCACGTACGTAGGGAAGAGTGGACAATTGCAATTTAATACAGTGAACATTAGGAAGAAGTTACTTAACCTTTGGGGGCATCAATTTTCTCAATAAGGAAAAGATAGAATCTACCTTATAGGGTTATTAAATGAGATCATGCTCATAACACAATGCTTGGCACAGCAGTTAGCTCTCAACAATGATAGAGAAGATGATGATTATATGATGACATAGAGTATAGTGATAAAGGTTATAGGCTGATGTCAGATGCCTGAGGTAAAAATCCAAGCTCTGCAATTTCTTAGCTGCATAACCTTGGGCAAGTTACTTCACTTCAAGTTCCTCATCGGTAAAATATGGATAATGATATTACCAAATTCATAGACTTGTTATAAGCACTTTGAGCAGTGTTCATAATCATTTAATAAAACCAGTGTACTATACAACTTTTTAAAAATTACAAGTTTAGAAATTAACATTATTTTTAATTGTTAATGGGGTACTATGAGAACACAGAGGAGAGGCTATCTTTTTCTATCTGGGGAATCAGAGAAGACTGTGGAGTGGATACTTGCACTGAATCTTAAAGAACTGATATGTGTTTGCCAGGTGGACAAAGCAGGTCAGAGCATTTCAAGCAGAAGAAAAGAATGGGTAGTATGCATAAATACACAGATAGCCATGTCATTTTTAAGAAATTCCAAGAAGTGTAGTTTGGTTGGGAGAAAAGCATATTTCAGACTGGGTGGCTAATGAGAACCAGAAAAATCTAGTCGTGTGCATGTGGATGATATTTGAAACTCCACAATTGGGCAAGATAGGTATGTCCAGAAAGAAGAAAGAGTTATCTAGGACAGGATCATCAATATTAACAGGGTAGGAGGGGGGCAGAGAAGTATTCAAAAGAAACTGAGGAACAGAGGCAGGAGGAAAACCAGGAAGCCAAGCAAAAAGTTCCGAGAAAGAAGGGATGGAATTCTATCCAAATTGAAAATGAAACCAGGTGACTCTGCTTTCACCAAGAGCAGAGCAGGTAATTCAGATCAAACCTCCTCCTGAGGAAAACTAGGGGAAAAATTCTGCTTGAAGTCATCAGAATACTCACAAGGTAGTCAAGAAATATAGACCAAGATCTAGGAAAAGATAGAAATCCAAAAAAAATGAATCCAGCATCGGGGGACTGCTATTTCTCTTGGGGGTATTTGCCATTTCTGGAAGGAGCTATAAAAAGGCCTGTACATGTATTGAGCATCTTTTCATATGCTTATTGACCATCTGTACATATTGAAGAAATTTCTATCCAGATCCTTTACTCATTTTTCAATTTATTTTTTTATTGAGTGGTAGGAGTGCTTTCTCTATTCTGGAT